ATACTTGATGGCCATGCTCTAGGACTTGAGTCTTACTTCCTGCCACTTTGGTTTTTAGTCATTTTCTTTTAGCTAGGATCTTAAGGCTCGCTCTCGAGTACCATCTCCTACCTGTGCCTCCTATGCAACTGAAATCACAAAGGTTCCCAATATTCCCAGTTTTTTGTTGTTGTTGAGATGGGAGGGTCTGCAGAACTTTTTTACCCTGGCTTGCTTTGAATTTTGATCCTCCCCAGTTCTGCCTCTAGAGTGGCTGGAATTACAGGCATATGCTTCCTCACGTGGCATTTATGAAACTTTTCATGAAATCGTCTCCTCCTGATTTAGGTTTACTTAGTACACACTTAAGTACTCCAAAGGTTCTACTTATACAGAATAGTACTGTCAACTTGCATCTTGAGGATAAATTATCTTAATAAATTTTAAATTTTTTGTGTATAGAAATTGAGAGGTAGGATGCTAGGCGACTTGTCTGTTTTATATCTATAGTCACAATGCACTTAAAGATGGCGATACATCCTGAGAAGTGTGTCATTAGGGGATTTCAGCATTGTGCAAATGCCATGAATTATACTTCCATAAACCAATTTTAGACAATACCTTACTATATACCTAGATTATCAATGAAACATCATCATATATGTGATCTACTGTCGACGAAATTTCATTATGTGGTGCATACTGGAGTGTTGGTGAATACCAAACAACCAAGACAAGTTCTCTAACATCTTTTCTAGTTCGTTAGCCATGATGCTATGTCCTATTAATGGGTGTTATTTTTAGAGCATTGTGTGTTATTCTTTCTTTGGTGAATCTTGTGAATAGAATAATGCTGCTTTTAAAAACCGTCTAGCAGGGATATGATATTTATTACAGCACAAAGCAATTTCTGTATCGTTAAGGTTATTTTTATGACATTAATGCTCTTCGAATTAATACTCTGTGAAGTTATTATTTTATGTGACAAAACTCAAGCAAAGAGGGCGTGAGAGGTGTAACAGAAACGATGGAATGGTATGCTTTTCTGACCGCGCTGTGTTGGCTTTTAGCCCTGGTCAGGTGCTCGGTTAGAGAAGCCGCCTGGGCTCTGTCCTCAGCACCCTAGAGAATAGTTAGTATTTCACTTGACTTTCTTTCTTTCTTTTTTTTTTTTTTTTGGTATTATGTTTTGTCTTTTTTTTTATTGTGAGAATACCTTACAGAGGAGTTACAATTACATGGGCAAGATAACGAGTACATTTCTTATCAAGCGTTGTTGCCTCCTCGTTGTTTCCCCTTCCCATCCCTTTCCATCTTCCTCCCCTCCCCCCACCCGCTCTTCCCCCCCATCCCCCACCAAAGTTGTTAAGTTCTTTTTCGACATAACAACTTGTGCATCTCATTGTTGACCTTCTTTGTATGCTCATCCTTAAGTTTTTATCAGCTGTAAAAGTAGGAAGTTCAAAATTAAATTTCGATCCTTGCAGGATTGGATGTATTTGCCACTTCAGAAATTGTGTTTGGTCTACTCCTCCTGAAGAGTGGTGAGAAGCACATAGCTGGAGTCACACTAGAGACAATTTCCAAATACAGAGATGGATTGGAAACTTTCTTAGTGGTTTCTGCCATTTAGAGTATAGTCTTAAAAGTTCTTTTGTAAAAATTCTCCACTGCTAATAATTTTGTGTCTGACTTACATCCTGATCCTGTCACGTGACCTCCCACGTTTTCACTTTAAATGTTGCATGTTCTGATGCAGTATGCAAATTAAAGCAGCAGCAGCTTAAGTAGCTGTAGCTGGTGGCACATCATGCATGGGCTACTTGAGTCAAAAAGGCTGCTGTTAAATTTAATGATGAAGCAGAGCATCATTAGCTATGTGCTTATTCAAGGAGTTTCACCCATAAACATCTGCTCCCTTGTCAGAGCTGTCACTTTTAAACAATACCTGTGAGGGACACTCATTTCCAACTTTCTCTTCATGGAATCAGCTTGCTATTTACTAATAGATTTCTTGATAATGGAGGAAAACACAGACTCTTCTTTTTCAAAATCCCTACTGTGGGATCTCTGCCTAAGCAAGGTGCTGTCAGTGTGAGAAAGCAGACGGTGTTCCTCCAGGAAGTCTTTTTGTGAACATGTGACAGAATATTTTATCATTTGGGTAAATTTTTCTCAGAACTTAAATATTACAATTGAAAGAAAAACTATTGTCCTGAAGGCTTTGTGTAATTTATAATAATCTCATAGCAATCATGTGCTGAAGATCAATGGGAAATATCCTGTTTCATATTTATGATGAGATAATATACACTGGAGCTCACTTACTAAAACGCAAACCTTGGTGTTCTTTTTGAAGTCAAGCAATGCCAGCCTTGCTAGTGCTTGTTCCATGTCTAAGAGCAAGGGACAGATGTAGCAGATGAGCAGAGATTGATTTGATAGACAAATGCTCATCGATGCCAATTTTTGGAAGATTGCATTTTTCCTAACTATTGCTTGGATTTTTTGCTTCATATTTTAATTTTAATTAAGCATTATGTCTATATATCCCGAGTATTTGAAGCATACAGTTTAGTGATTTTTTTTGTTGTTGTTGTTGGTCATGGGGCTTGAACTCTGGGCCACTTCCAGTTTTCTGGTAGCTTATTGGCGATAGGAGTCTCACGGTCTCTCCTTCCCCGGGCTGGCTTTGAACCGTGATCCTCAGATCTCAGCCTCCTGAGTACCTAGGATTACAGGTGTGAGCCACCAGAGCCCGGCCCAGTTTAGTGATTTTTACAAAGTAGAGACAATTGTATCAGCATTCCTCAGATTAGAAGTAGAATATTCTCAGAAAGCAACTCAGAAAGCATTTTCTTATTCCCTAACTGTCCACAGGGTTAACCACTGTCCTGACTTCTAGTGCTGGAGGAATTTTGGACTTTATTCTAAGAACAATGACAAAGTATCAAAAGGAATTTCGCCAATAAAATGGCATCATTGAGTTGCATTTCTAGATCCATAGCTGTAGTATGGAGAACAAATTGTAGAGGTCCATATAAGAGGCTATTTGAGGAAATGTGGCTTGAACACACTCACACACAATACACATACATCTTTAATGCAGAATATTTTAATTTTGATTTCAGAGCTTTTCTGAGGTGATTCTTTTTTGAAACACACTATCTCCTTTAATCTTCCCAAGCATAAATTATTTGGAGATGTGTTCTTGGATAAAGTGCTGCTGGGATTAGTAAGTGTGTCTTCATTACTTTACACAGCCCGAGTTCCTTTGAGATTTTATAATTGAGCATTAGTAATATGCATCATTTTAGAAGTCTTCAGAGATCGATCTTGATGTTCCTTCTTTTAGCTTTGCTGCTTTTATAGTGCTCCTTATATGTTTATTGAAGAAGATGAGATGATTTTTCAGCTCCTATATGTTTTGGTTTGATTGCTCAATCATAAGTGTGTTTTGCATATACTTGAACATAGTTACTGAGAAGAAGAAAGAATTCTGGAAACAAAAATACTGCTTCTAAATAGCGAATGTTTCATTTGGAAGTGCTTCTAACCATCCCTAAGGAACAAATAAACCTGTATATACCTATTTCACAGAGCAGAAATTTGCTTTTTAAAATTTTTTTTATCATGATGGACATAAATCCTTTTAGGATTTCGAATTATAGTCTGGAAAGTGATTATGAAGAGGAGCATTCTGGGAATATAGCAGAGTAGAAAGCACTAGGAATCTGTCTTCTAACCTAGGCAACAAAAGTACTGGCAATACCTGTCTTTCTGAAGACTTGGAACTTCAGATATTTTTACTTTTTACCCACTCTGACCCTTCTTCCCTGTATTAGGTGTATATTACTTCAGGAGTAGTTTTCATGTAGCTTATAGGAGATAGAATGGCAAATGTCTTCTAAATATAGAAAATCTGTGGTCTGATGGCCAATGGAAGTTTGTGATCACAAAGCTACAGACAAGGAATTATATTGTACCTCCTCCCATTAGTCTCTCACCCCCATCCTTAGCTCACCTGAGTTCCAGGGAGCTTAAACAATTGGTGCCACCCTTCTCCTCTCTCCCCATTTCCTTCCCCCCCCCCTACTGTGGGAGGCAGGTATTGAAGACCTGGACATTCAAAAGCAAGTACTCAGGAAATGAAAATGAGAAAATCACTGTACATGGCAAGGGCAAATGCAGTCCTAGAAGAGATCTGAGAAGAGCTGAAGTTTATACTTCAGGGTGATCCCTGGCCTTGACAGCAAGCAGAAAGCCCCTGAAAATGGGAGAAAATCTGATTTTCAGGGGCTAGAGCTTAGACCTTAAATGTTCTTCAATTTTCATATGTTTAGGGCTTCTTGAAGAGTGGTGCTGCTGGGAAGTGATGGGGACTGGTAGGAAGTTTTATGGTTATAGAGAGGATGCCCTTGAAGGGCGGTGGGAGGGGGGTGAGGAGGGCGCAATCTATAATATTAGATCACAGATATAAGATGATGTTAAGCAAAATGATCCCCAAGATAGGGACACAAGTGGTTTTTTTTCTTGCTATTGTGTTTAATGTATTTATAATATACTATGTGATTGTTTTTTGTTTCTTTTGTATGTTCTTCCCCCATGGTATAACTCCTGTTTCACTATTTGATTCTGCATCTTGTATATACGTTTTTCTAATTTGGAGAGGGCAAGGGAAATAACAATGCTTAAATAAGGATACGAGTTGACCCATTGTAACAATGAGATGTACAAGACAGTATGTTGAAAATGAACTTTACAACTTCGGTGGCGAGGGGGGGGGGAGGGAGGAGTTGGGGAGGTGGGGCGGGAAGGGATGGTAGGGGAAAAACAAAGGAGGGGGTAACAATGCCTCATAGGAAATGTACTCATTACCTTACTCATGTAACTGTGACCCCTCTGTGCAGTATTTTTACAATAAAAACCATATATTAAAAATATATTAAGTCACAGGCTCCCAAAGATAGAGGCAATTAGTTGTGAGCCAAATAAGCTTTTTCTTTTTTTTAATGTTTGTTTGTTGTTCTGAAAACTGTGGTGTTACCACATCCACTCAGGAAGGATACCCCCAAACCAGTCCTGATACTCTTGCTCATGGAGAGGCAGGTCAGCACCACAAGGAGAAGACCTGGCCCTGGTGAGCCTCAAATAAGCTTTTTCTAAGTTAATTTTCCTCAGGTTATTTGTTACAATAACAAAAAACTAACACACCAGAGCTACCACATTACTCAATTCAAATGTTGAGAGATACTGAGTTTAGTCTCAGCATAAAAGAAAAGTAATTGACAAGATTTAAGAATAGCACAAAATGTTTCTAGAATTAAACTTAAATGCCTGAAAGTGCAAAGTGACAAGGTATGAAAAAGGACCCAAGAAGAATATTTTTTTTCAAGGAAAATCCTAAGGAAACACAAACTGTACCTGTACATTACCTGACGGTCCACTTCTAGACAAATCCACTTCTAGGCAAAAGCAACTGTGTTGAAGTATTCAAAGTATCTGACCTGTTTTAAAGAACTAAAGGAATATGGGGGCGGGGGGGGGGGGAAATCAAGAAAATGGAAATAGTAAAGATAAGGAAAATCTAAAAAGAGGCCCGAAATACAATTCTAGAGCCGAAAATTCCCAGAACTGACATGAAAATTTTACCAGAACTGAAATATTTGAACAGATAGACAAAAGATTCAATGAGCTTAAAACTAGAGCAAGGTGAATGGTGGGGAAACAAAGTAGAAAGACAAAAGAAAAGTAGCCAAGATCAGAAGATTTGAGGTACCTTCAAGCCAACACAAGTTCCATGAAAGTTCCAGAAGGAGAAGAGGGAAGAGACAGTGGTACTATTTGGAGAGCTAAGTAATGTCTATAAAGTTCCTGAATTTGATAAAAAGCATAGATATAAACATTTAAGTTCACTGATTTTCAAGATGGACAAACTCAAAGTAACTCACACTGAGACTCACTGTAGTCTGACTATTTAGACATGAAGAGAATCTTGGAAGCAGCAAGAGGAAAATGAGTTATTACTTAGAAGGGATTCTAGATAAGGATTTTCACTGAGAACTTTGGAGGCCAAAAGTCATTAGGCAGATACAGTCAAACGGCTGAAATGACAGCCAATAATCCTATATCTGGCAAAGCTGTTTTGAAAGGAAGTGAAAATATTCTCACATAAACAAGAGGGAAAGGATTTTGTTACACTGGATCTGCCCTGTTTAAAAGAAAAAAATTGAGGGAATCTTATAGAGTGAAATGAAAGGATGCTACCCAGTAACTTGAATAGATACAAAGAGATAAAGATTTCAACAAAGATACATAAGGAAACAATTACAAAACTGGTATTATTGTAGGGAGGATTTATAACCCTATTCTTCGTTTTCCACAAGATTAAGAGATGAATACAGTTTTCAAAATCAGTTAGGGAAGGGGAACCTTTTTTTTTTTTGGCCAAGGGACAGTTTAATACTTAACATCCTTCCCAGATCATATAAAATTATCAATACAGGAAGATGGACTCCAACCTATATATGAAGTATATAAGAAGCATATGTATCTATTTGGTCATGGTTTCTTGGATTTATACTGCCCATTTGATGATCCCCATTTCTGGAAAAGTTAATATTGTTGTAACTTAGTTTTATAACTCCATATTTTATTTTCCATATAATTGAAGAGATTAATGCATTTACAATCTTTAGTTTCTATAATTGGACACCTAGTTTATAAAGATGTAATTTTGAGACCTGTACAGCTAAAAAATTGAGAACATATACATAAATGAACCTAGTTTTTATGTTATTAAAGTTAAGCTAGTATAAATCCAAGTTAGAATATTATAAGTTTTAGGGAATTAACTATAATCTCCATGGCAGCTATAAAAGAAACCACCTATAGATAGGGCTGGGAAGGTGGCTCAGTGGGAGAGCGCTTGCCTTGCATGCATGAGGCCCTGGGTTTGATTCCTTTGCACCACATAAGCAGAAAAAGCTGGAAGTGGCACCATGGCTCAAGTGGTAGAGTGCTAGCCTTGAGCTGAAGAACTGAGGAACAGCGCTCAGGCCTCACAACTAAAAAAAAAAAAAATCACCTATAATCTATATCACAAGAGAAAAATGGGAAATAAATGTAAGCATTTCCCCACCAAAAAACCCACCTATGATAACAGAGAACAACAATGCAGGAAATGGATCCAGCCCACCCTCAAAACTCTAAAGGCAAGGCACAGTGAAAGAAATGATACTTTATCGGTCATATTCTAACCTATGCTACACACAGACAAATCTTGAAAACAGTTCACTAAGTGAAATAAGACCGTTACAAAAAGCCATACAATAGGATTACACATATACAAGTACTTCGAGTTGTCAAAATCATAGAGACAGGAGTGTGGCGATTGCCAGGCACTGGCAAGTGGAAGTGGGGTATAGAGTTTCATTTTGGGAAGATGAAAAGGTTCTAAAGATAAACGATCCATATCACTGAGCAATATTTACTTAGAAATGGTGACTATGTCCTAGGCATGGTGGTTTATATCTGTAATCCTAGTACTGGGGAAGTAGAAGCAAGTTTATCACATGCTTGAGACCAACCTGGGTGTACAGCAAGACACTGTCTCAGAAATAATAAAAAGGTTTGGGGATATAGTTCAGTGGTAGAGCACTGCCTAATATGTGGGAAGCTCTGGATTTAGCCCCCAGTACAATACAGACAAAGGGAAGCCAAACCATGGTGAGTTATGGTACAAGTTACTATAGAGAGACTTTCACAGCTTAGGTGGACCTGAGGAGACAGAGGACCAGGAAGGAGTTAGAGTGAATTAGAAGACAAGCAGGCCATCAGCAGAGGTGGACCATGGAGGAGAACATCATGATAGCTTTAAGGAGTTGTGTGTCTGTGTGGCAGCTGCTTTTGTGGGTTGCTGCTAAGATTTGTTGGTGGGAAACAGGTACTTGGAACAGACAAGCTGGATGCAGAATGGGGAGCTGTGAGGATAACCTGAGACCCTTCAGCATCTCTATGTCTCTGTGTCTCCTGTCACTTAACCTGTTCTCTCAGCATGGTGACTTCTTCATTCAGAAAACACTGGCTGCTGCACGCAAAGGGCCATCTGTGGAATTCAGCTTAGCCATTGGACACAGAACAAAATATCGAAGTATGGAATCGAGTCATGTGAGAGCTTAATAATAGTTGGTGTTTTTTTCCCTTTGCATATTCCTATTCTAGATTTCTTAGATGTAAATAAAAGAAAGGTTAATGTATTTTTAACTAAGACAACTGTCTTAAATATGCAAAATCTACTTACTAGAACTTAATACCATCTATTTTTACTATACTTAGTATAGCAGAATTTGAATGGGCCCAAGTAGAGTTACTTGACAAATATTTAAAACTGCTCCAAAAAGTCATATTTCTATAAAATAGATATTAATCACAAATACAAATGTAATTAAACAATTACAATAAATTCCTTCCTCCATTTTGTTTGCAGGCAAATGGAAAGACATACTGGCTTGGATATTACACAATTCTGCTTTTAATACTTACTGTATCATAAACCCCTGATTGTACGTTAAGTAAATAGATTCCTTATTTGCGAGTGTTAAGAGAAATAATGTATTTGGAAATTGAAGCATTATGTAATCTTCAGATATTACCATGTCTTTAGGGGGAAAATGTTGCTTCCAATTGCTAAGAAGTTGGCTTGTACAATAACATTTTTATCCTAGGTAACAATCTTCTAGTGAATAGACTGTATATTTAATATAGTGTTTGATTCCATCAGAGTCTATCTCAGTGCAATTGTAATCTGCCGAGAGTATTTTAACTGAAGTTGAAGTAATTTTATTTCTTGATTATTTTTCTAAAGGGAATCCTCAATACATTTTCAGTCACGAGAATATGCTTACTTTCACATGGCTTCCTGTCCTTTGGTGTCTTGCTAACAGTATATCTCAGAGTACTGATTTCGATGACTTCCCTACCTTCTGGTTTTTGTTCCTAGACTATTGCTTCAGTCTCTACTAAGAAACAAAATGATATAAAATAAAAGCAAACAGCATACATTAACATCCAGAAGTGAAATAAAACTGTAATATGAGTAGTGTAAGTTTTATGTGTGAAGTAACATTTAAGCCTGTCTAGGGCAGAGTTCAGAAATCTTTCCAAACATCTTATGAGAAGAAAATTGAGATTTTTACATCAGAACCAATGATAAGATAAAAAATGGCTTAGCATTGTTTTCTGCCAAACTAAGTGTATGTCTAAAGAATACATGCAGTTCAGCATCACTTAGCATTAATCCAAGGAGTCTTATTCACTATCATTACTTTTGTGAATCAGTGACAATTAGCCTTAAAGGGTCTCTAGTCACATCTAAGCTAATAACACATATGCAATCTTATTTCAATACATAGGTCCTTTATTTAAAGTCAACTTAAAACATTGACTTTAAGGAGGTACTTGCCTTGACTTGGCATATTATTGTATTTTTACAGTGTTGGAAACCTATTTTGGTAGTTAGAGTTGAAGTGAGACCACCCACAAACTAAGCACAGTTCTGTCCTCACAGTTGCCACTTGTAGGGGAAAAGATTGCTTTCCTGTGCTAGGAAGGCTAAGCATCCCAAGGCAGCAACAGGCACACCTCCTAAGCAGGCCATCAAAGATCCAGTGCCAGGAGAAGCTAAGCAGCATGGCCTCTTTCCATCAGCAGGGCAGCCTTGGTCTTATTTTAATGTTTACTGTCATCTTAGTATAGTGATCACACCACTCCTGCTTCCTAGAAGGTAAGCCTTGTCTTTGGTTATCTAGTCCTGTTTCCTATGTTAAACATTAGAAACATTTGTTATTCCAGCTGTTATTTCTTCATTTGGGTATCATTTTTCCTGTATTTCTTATACTAATAACTCTTTGGCTCTTCTTTGTCCTTATTTAAACCAGTGTTTTCCAGCTGTCTTTGATAAGAATGAACTGGATGCCCAGTTACACAAACAGCTTTCCAGACCTCTGCCCAACCCCCTTCCCTGTATCCCCCATGGAAGGCTGAGTGTGTAGCCCTTAGTGGAGCATGGGAATTTGTCTGTATAAAGGATACCTCAGGCTTTTTTTATGGAGGAAATCTAGGCAAGTCTGTCCTGAGAATTCAGTGGG